TTAAAATGGTAGCATGCATAATTTTTTTAACTGGATTTGATTTGTGCTAAAGCATTACCTAGACAACTAATGATACAAATGTAGCGAAGTATTTAAGTATAAATATCACATCAAACCTGTGATGTTTACTTCTAATTATTCTCTACAAAAAATGCCCTGCATGAAGCAGGGAACTGTGAGGTTATTACAGAGTGGCCCTGAGTCACCATAATTCTAGAGCTGGGATAGTACAACTCACCTTCAGCACTGTTTGCAGGGCTCAGATATATGTCATTCCTCCTACGATATTCATACACTTATTAATAATGTCTCAGAAATAAATTATTTGTGTAGGAACTGCTCCACAAATCTCAACAGTATTTATAGTGTGGACACCATCTACAGCGGAGTTCATGATACCTATCTTTCTCCATGCAAAATACACTCTCCTTGCTATTTTCCAGAGTCTGTATGCTTATCCAGAGCCCACCATCTCCTGCTGTTGCCAAGATAGTTGCAGATGAGCAATTGTATAACAAGCTCATCTTCCATAGAAAATGCTGGAAGCCCCAGTGCTTGAGTAACTTACAGCTAAATGAATAATTTCAGAAAACACCACAAGCATTAAGTAACTTTTCCCAGAATAAGACAAGCATTTTGCTTTAGTATCAACTCAGGAACTTTTCCTTTTTCCTCTGATCAAACTAAAGAATAGTTTGTGTTAGTTGTTCTTAGCAATAACCTGTTTATTATGGAGTATTGAAAAAGGCATCTTCCAAGGCAGATAAATTTAACTCCTTGTTCTACAACAGTATGGAGTGGCATCTCCCAACTCTTGTTATTTTTACTTACAGTGACAGATTTCTTCTCATAAGTAGACTACATTCAACCTCAGTTCTATTAAGTGAATAAAAGCAAATTCTATTGTCCTAAGATGATTTATCATAGGTACATCGGTTCCCTCCGATTTGTTAAGGAAGCTCTGAGCTACCTAGGAAACTTCAGTGCCAAGAGATGACCAACAAAATGGTGCCCTCCAAAGGTAATTCTCACACACTGACAACCTACAAAATAAATAGCAGCGAGATATAGAATCATAGAACCATTCAGGTTGGAAGGGGCCTTAAATATCATCAAGTTACAACACCCCTGCCATGAGCAGAGAACCGCACCACTAGATGAGGTTGCACAAAACCTCGTCCAACCTGGCCTTGGACACCTCCAGGGCGGGGGCATCGACAACCTCCATGGGCAACAAATTCCAGTTCCTCACCACCCTTAGAGTGAAGAATTTCTTCCTAATATCTAACCGAAATCTCCCCTCTCTGTTTAAAACCATGACCCCTTGTCTTCTCTGATGAAAAGCCCCTCCCCAGCTTTCCTGTAGGCCCTTTCAAGTACCAGAAGGTGCTCTAAGGTGTCCCCGGAGCCTTCTCTTCTCCAGGCTCAACAGCCCCAACTCTTCAGCCTGTCTCCAGAGAAGAGCTGCTCCAGCCCTTTGATCAGACTCGTGGCCTCCTCTCAACCCTTCCCAACAGGTCCAGCTGAACAATCATCATAGAAGAGAATTAATTCTCATGGCAGACCAGTTCACACCTCATGCAGACACGAGATGGGAGGGACACCAGCTCCTGGTTACCACAATAATCTGGAAGCCGTGCTAAGATCTTGACAGACTGGTGGCCACATGGAGGCCACATCTGACTGTGAGGTCTCCCACGGGTCTTGGGCCGCCAAA